ACTATTTTTGTCACTTCCTGTTTCACCGGAAATGACTACAACTTTTGATTTTTAAATGTGACCCTCTCTATTTTTTTACTTTATTCGATAGAAAATAACACGCTGAATAGAATGACATATCATATGTCAACTTTTGACATTTTCGCATATGGTTTATTTGAAATTGTATAATGCGATTCGTAACGACAATTTGACTAGAAATACCAAGTGTGTGGTACCACATTATTCGTAAAAAAATGCTTTTTCCAAATATGCTAATGAGCCAACGTCGTTCCACTTGAAAAAACTGAGAAATGATTAAAAAGAAATCACTAAAAAATGAACATATGTATTTTTTATTTACTTTAAAATTGGATTCTAAATATAAAAATAAGTGATAAATTTAAGTTTTAAGTGTTTCTAAGATTCTCCCTAGTTGATGCAAGCATTAAAATGCTTTACGGCGAGTCGATTACGAAACAGAGCATTAAAGGCCACGAAAGGTTAATCGTCTCACATGGCCACCGCATAATTTCAACGCTAAATGTCAAAGCAAATGTCAAATTGACGTGTAGAACGAAAACCGTGCAGAAGACCCTTCTTATTTCTATAAAACGAGTCCCTTTGTTAGATCTTTTTCCATGTCCAGGAAAAATAATAAAAAACCCTTCACGTAAAATATTTTGTAATTTCCGTGCTTTTTTTCATTTACTTTATTTTTACAACTAAGTAATCAATTTATCAGATGATGAATAGTTTAGACATTTAGAAATGTCGTTTACATTTATAAAACATCAAATAATAATTATTCATTTAAAAAAAATACTGTTGCGTGTTATAGAGACAATGAACACGCTTATAGAAATATAATTGTCTATGTAATTAAAATAGACAAGTAGTCATGTAATAACTAAATCTAACAAATAATTACGAATCAGATCTCAACAATAATGAAAATAATAAAAATAATAATACAAAATTACAACTAATAAGTTCTAAGTGTTCTGATCTTTTCCTCTTAATTATACTGACTGTACAGGGTGCCCAAAATTTCAGGGTAACAATTCATGGATCTTGAAAACCATAAGGAGGTTACATGATAGCGTTTTTATTTTTTCCTTGGTTTAATTGAAGAATAATATATTTTAAAATAACATTTCATCAAATCTGACGTTTTGGTTTCGAGATAATTCATCATCAATGTAGTGTGTTATTTTAATACTGAATATAACGTTGTACTCAAAAAAAATTCTAACAAAGACATTTCCCATGTTTTTTTTTGGGTTTAATTTTAATTCTGTGAGTGTTTCTAATAACAGCCACGAAATATTAATTACTATACACATAATACCAAATGACGGGTTTGTGTTAAATACAGTAGCGTCGCGTTGTTTGTTTGGATTATTTATTTAATTTGGTACTACAAACAGTAAATAATAGTTACAGTACCACTGGAAATAGTAAAGTTTATTATACAGGGTGTCAAAACGTACCAACTTTCAGTAAAACCGGTTTACCAATGTTTTTAAAAATAAACAAAATATATCTATTATTTTTATCTAATCTTTCGAGGGCCGTAACTTCTTCGTAGGAACTTCGTTTTATTTTTATTTGTAGAATCACCCACCGAAGTTTAATACACTATTTAAGAATATTGTTACGGATTACGTGGGTCCACTAATTTAAACTCACGATACAATACTTAACGAATTTATTTTTCTCGCTCTGTACACACAACTTATACTATTTACAACACAATTTATGCAACTACTATTACTCTAACGGTTCTGGTACCTTCGCCAATTAATTCACAATTTAAAACGCCGTATTATCAAACTTCAAACTGGTCCAACTGCCAAGCTCGGGCCTTTATATACCCCTACTGACTGTTTCTCGAACCTTCTGTAATTTTCGATACTTTTCCGCCATCTACCAGTAAATTCTATTGTCTGATTCGCTTACTTGTCGACTTGACTAAGAGATGGCGCCTAAAAATGTCTTTTACTTTTTGGTGAATTCGTCATGTTACTTGACACGTTGCGGCAATGTAGGCAACCAGCAATATAGTTTAGCGCCACATACACCTTGACAATATAAATATATTTAATAGTATAGGCTTCGTGTATTTCAGTTGATTTCAACAAATTCCGACCGCAGCGCACTTTACGGTAGAAATCAGAAATTATCAATATTTAGTTCACGCCGCCGTCGCGTCAGGTCGATCCTTAGACAAGGAAAGAGAGGGAACAGGTAACACGGCAACTAAAAGTGAGGCAAGTTGTCATCACGCGAAATTCTCCAATGGCGTAGCATCAGAAATTAGCTTGTACCTAGAAACGTAAACTAATATATCGTTCATTTTTGAGTAATCCATACACAATTTTGTATTTTATAGTCTCATCTTTATAATATTAGAATATCTAAGTCGATAATGCAAAATTTATTTAACAGTCACAGTGGACTGATTATCAAGACAATTATTTTTTATTAACGTGTGTATAATGTATAATTAAATAAAAAATAATGTAATAACATATATTTTAAACATGTATATATATATACTGTATGATCGAAAAAAACGGCGTCTTGTTTGTTTGGAAATGACAATTTCACAAATGAATATTAAAAATTACATTATTCATTGAATATTAAATCCGTAAGCAAGCGTGAAGAGAATTGGCTAGATTCATTATTATACCGTATAATCGAAAAACGTCCAGTTGGCTTGTAAATTACGATCGATGACATTCCCCATATAATTCTACATATAAAATGACATAAAAACTATACAAAAAGACATCGAAAAAAGACGGCGTCAGCGATGGCTATGAAATGAAGATCGCTGTCATTTTATATGTAAAATTATATGGGGAATGTCGTCGATCGTCATTTACAAGCCAACTGGACGTCGTTTTTTTTGACTATACGGTATAATAATGAATCTAGCCATTACCCTTCACACTTGCGTACGGATTCAATAAATATTGTAATTTTTAATATTTGTTACCTTCAATCATAAGAATATCCTATTTTTAAGAATATCCGAATTTATTCACACAAAAATAAAACAATTCTAGAAGCTTTGTGTTATTTTGTTTATTTATAAATTTTTATTAATTACTCACTGAAACTATTATTATACACTTAAATAAGCAAATTTTTTGAAAGAATATTTAAAAAAATATATGTATGTAGTAACAAGTAGCCCACCACAAGTTTGTCCACCCCCAACAAATCTTGGCAGGTAAATTTAAGTTTTATATAACTATACATATAGATTTTTTATCACTAGAATTTTTAATTTTTTATAGTTTACAATTATTTTACATATTTGATAACAATACTTTATACATTTTTTTACATGTAAAATATATAAAAAAATGTTTATTGCAGAAATTGTATTTCTCTGATTATAATTCCCTACGACACTGGTGAAAGCAATATTTATAGTTTCAAACATTAATTATAATACAGGATATTGAAAATACTACTTGGAATTATTAAAAATACTTTGGTTTGGATGTGGTACAAGACATATTAAAAGCATTTTACATATTTTTACTGCTATAATGAAAAAAATATTACATTTTATGACCACATAACAAAAGTTGTGTATCGATTTTTACCTGTGAAATGTAATTCCAGCCACTTTTTTCTCGCTTCGGCTTTGCAGCCATACTCTGAACATCTCACCATACCAAATAACACAGTTTAAAAATTTAAAACAAAACAGTTGTCACAAAAAACATAAAAATTTGCTCGGTGTCACCTCGTAATCTTGTCACCAAAGTATGGCCGCCGATCGAATTTTGGCCTCACCTAAGGGCCTCACTATCCGATCACGAGAGAATATGCGTGTTACCCGTCCCCTCTCTTTCCTTGTCTAAGGGTCGATCACATTAAAATAATATTGAAATCGTGGTTTTGTCATAATATTTAAGTATTTTAGTTTTTTGCTAGGTAGTGCAGTTATTGAGACTATAAAACACTCAGGGTGCAGCCACACTATCCTAAAAACGGCGTATCGGCGTAACGGCGTAACGACCTTGAATCGATTTCAGGGTGCAGCCACACTATCCTAAAAACGGCGTATCGGCGTATCGGCGTAACGGCGTAACGACCTTGAATCGATTTCCAATAATTCTATTGGCTGAAATTTTTGACAGATGAATTTGACAGATAAAATTTCTGACAGATGAATGTTTCAGCCAATAGAATTACTGGAAATCTATTCAAGGTCATTACGCCGTTACGCCGATACGCCGTTTTTAGGATAGTGTGGCTGCACCCTGAGGTACAAGGTTTGTGTGATGTAACGCTGTTTCGGGTAGTAAAAAATAAATGAAAAAGAATTCGAACTAAAAAGTTGCCCAAAAAAATGTTAACGCGTAAAGGAGAGCGTAATTAGGGCGTTGTTGGGTGCAATAACATTCAATAACTCAACTTTCCCCGATATTCAACTCTCCCGAAACAAGATTTTATAGCTTCATAATTTCTTACACCGATTTGATGAATAGCAAAAATGGATTCAAACAGTTCGACGAAACAAGTGAGTAAACAAAGTTCTCGTTGCATAATCAAAAAAATAAATAGACATATACTATGAGAGGATGAAATATAATTTCCAATATTAATTGTATACTTTTTTAATCAACTAGTGATTAAATGTTTTATGAACATCTTCTAAAATTATAATTATGTACCTTTAAAAAATTTCGTTATAGCCGAAATAGCTCCAATTATGCCCCACTAGCAAAACCGGTGATAAAACTATGCTCGCAACCATAGTTGAACTCATCTAATTTTTTTTACTGGAATAATAAATTATAAAATGCAAGGTAGACTTTCTGAAGATTCTGTTTAGAATTTCCACAAATTATACTTTCTTACACTTTTAGAATAATTATATACTAATTTTTTCGTTTACTCGCCATTTAAACCCGTGTACCCGTTGGATATTCTCCAGCGTTGGCAACACCGGCGGAGAATGCATCAAGCATATATTTGTTTAGTATATGCATCTTATCAAAAACGTGCACAAGTTGGTGTATACAGGGTACAGAGATACGCGAGTGCAGATATAGAATGGTGCAGATATAGAATAGTGCAGATATAGAATAGTGTAATAAAAAATAGAAAAATAAAACCAAAACAAAAGGAACGCCACTGTGTATTTTACGGAAAATTATACCATATAAAACAAGAACGTATAAAAAGAGCCTCCCAATTCCTGAACTACTTATAATGTTTAAACCGCTAAAATTATCTGCGGGCAGACTGTGATTTTCATTTTGTTCAAACAATGGTGATTTCCATGCAACGCTGGGTGGGAAAAGTGGCAATAGTGACAGGTGCCAGTGCCGGAATCGGCTCGGCAATTGCTGCAAAACTGGTGGAAAATGGCATGATCGTAAGTAAGATAAAAAATATTTTTTTTAATCAAAATTTTTTTTTCAAATCAAAATCAATGTCACCGTTTGGCATTTTTATGTGGGAGCTACAAAAGTTTTTTTCTTAATTTTTTGGATAACATTAAAAATCTGTACTTTGGGTGGGATTTGATCAAAATCCGTTCTTAGTCAGCGTCTGTGTTGTGTAAGAAGTAACTATACCAAATTTCAGAATTAGATGCCTTCGGTATTTTTTTATAAGAATTAATAACCCATATTATTACTGTATAAATTCAAATGTTAATGACATTAATTACATATTTTAAATTTTAAATATACCTAAATCATTAGAAAAATTTATAGTCTAAAAAAATACGTTACGTATATTCAGAATTTTATAGCAATTAGTAGTTTTAATTATTATGCTTTATACTTAAGAATTTGCGATCATCCACAATGTCTAAAAAATACAATTAAAATTAATACAATCTCCTAGCAATTCAGTTGTATCCGTAGAGAAATTCTAATAATTAGCTTATAAAACAATCAACGATTTTTTTTTTCTAATCAGAATTTCTTTTGACGGAAGATAATCAAAAACCAAAATGGCATTACTCGTATATTTTCAATTATAATTAGTGGAAAAAGTAAAAAATTTGTTTACTTCCTCTACTAATTGAAAATTACTACCACTAATTTGAGAGGAACAAACTTCCACGCTCATTAAAACCACTAATTTATTACACTAATTTAGATGTTCTGAAATGACATTATTCTTAACTAATATAGGTAGCTGGATTAGCCAGAAGAAAAGAAAAAATAGAAGAACTAAAGAAAAACTTAGGAGCAAATAAAGGAAATCTACATGCAATAAAATGTGATGTAGGCAACGAAAATGATATTTTGAGTGCTTTCAAATGGATAACAGCCAATCTGGGGCCAGTTCATGTGTTGGTTAATAATGCAGGAATAATTTTATCAACAACGTTGTCAGATGGAGATACAGAAAGCTGGAGAAACGTTATAGGTAAGCTCCTTGTAAGCTCCCGTAATACGGAGTCATTTGACATGTGCTCCGTCATTCAGCATCCAACGAAATAACCACATCTCAAAGGCATCTCATCTTCCTCACTGTAGTCATTTGCCGGGTTCAGAGTTTCATTCCATATTATAATAAGTGTAGCAGTTGACCATACGATTTCGAGTATTCAACATTAGATTTTTATTACAAAAGAATTAATAATACTAAAAATAAAAATAAAGAATATATTTATAATATTAACAAACGTTTATTAATTTAGATACAAATGTACTGGGTGTCCTGATATGCGCAAGAGAAGCCATAAAAATAATGAAGTCGAAGAATATTGCAGGCCATATTATTAACATGAACAGTATTTTGGGTCACACTATACCAAATGCTTTTGTCGAAGCAAATATATACCCAGCGACCAAACATGCTGTAACCGGACTGACAGAGAGTCTACGATTGGAATTGGCAACAAAAGACAGTCCAATTAGAGTGACAGTAAGTTAGGGAGCTTCCAAGATTATTATTCTAAACATAACATATTATTTTCTGTTTTTTTTTCACAGAGTATCAGCCCTGGAGCTACAGAAACAGAGCTATCCAAGAGTAGTGCAGAGCTGCTTGATGGTGTTTTTGTCGAAGACAAAATGCTACAACCGGAAGATATAGCAGATGCAGTCGTTTATGTGATATCTACACCTACACGAGTGACAGTAATTATAATTACCCAAACTATATTTCATTTATTTTTATATTCGTCTAATACCGTATGATCGAGAAAAAACGGTGTTGTCAACGATGGCTATGAAATGAAGATCGCTGTCATTTTATATGTAAATTTATATGGGAAATGTCATCGATCGTTATTTCCCAGCCAACTGGACGCCGTTTTTTTTTCGATCATACGGTTTTGCTAACAGTTGTTATTGGATAATAAGATGTTCAATCAATTAGATCAGGGATGGCGAACCTTTTTGAGACATTGCTCAAATTATGTTCATACTTTTTAGTACTTTCTGGTGGATCACTAAGTTCCATTTGCACCAGAGTTAAGTTTCAAATTTTATTTATTATTAATAATTTTATTTTTAAAATTCAATTGGCTCAATCGGTAAAAATGGCCGTGGTTTGTAGATTTTTTTTCAACTAACTAAATGTCAGTAAAATTATACACTTTATTTGATATTTTAAACACTTTTACTTGTTTTTCAAATACAACAAACGCATTTGTCATTTGCGTAACTTTAGAGTTAATGATCAAACTAAAGGTTATAGACAGCATTTAAATTACTTTTGTGTCAAGCCAGTGTTTGAAAAAATTAACGAATAGGATATAAATGATCCAGAGAAATGAGAAAATCTAAATAAACAAACAGAGGTTTGCCTAGCAATCCTGGGTCAGTCATACGTTCGCCCTCACTGACCTATACCGGGTGCGTCTCAAAAGTGACTCACCCCTATAACTTTTTTTATTTTTTAGATAAAAAAAAACGAGATTTGGTATATTAGTATATGAGATAAATTAAGATTGATTTTGGAATGGCGTATTCAATATTGTTTTTGATCAGTTCCTGTATCACCGGAAAATGACTACAGCTTTTGATTTTTAAATTGCACCCTCGGTATTTTGTTACTTTATTCGATAGAAAAAGACACTCTGAATTAAATGACATATCATATGTCAACTTTTGACATTTTCGAATTTGGTTTATTTTATATTACAATATGCGGCGATTCATAACGACAATTTGACTCGAAATACTATGTGCGTGGTACCAAATTATTCGTAAAAAAATACTTCTTCCAAATATGCTAATGAGCCACCTTTGTTTCATTTGAAAAAATTTAAATATGGTTAAAAATATGATTTGGGCCTTTGAATAAGAAGACTAAGGAAGGAGCATATCAAAAATCTTAGGTACACCGCGATGGGCCTCAAATATGGCCGACTTAAATTCCGCTTTATCAGTGTCGTTCTAATTTTATTTAAAAAATGTAAAACTATGATGTAGGGTAGACGTGGGGTAGACTTAATAATTTGTTGTTTTATTTTACGTTGTGAATAAATGTTGGTAGTTATTAAAATTGTTATAAAAATATATAATTCTAATAAAAATAGATAAGTTATAATAAGTATTTATTAACACAAACATCCGATACGCTACTGAAGCAGGTAAGTCAAATTAACGTATCTAAATTCTTTGACATCTAATCTTTGACAAGTAATAAATAAATAAAAGCTAAAATGCAAGAAAAATATATAATTTAGTTTATTTAAGTGAATTTCATAAATGATCGGTTTACTACACGTATGTATATTATATAGTCACTTACTAGCGAAAAGTTGTTCCATTATTTCACTCAATTTTTGCCGAGATCTACCGCACGCTACACAACCAACTATTTTAGAGTCTTTTTCGATAAATCGCGATAGTGTCACTGTTAATTTAAGTTCTGCCACAATTTCCATCTAGATTTACTACCTTTATACAACTATCAGTAGTAGAATAAATAATAAATAACATAAAATAAGCTCCGTAAAGACTGACAAATCCACAAAATTTCAAATCAAATTCAAATGTGTCAAATGAATCGTCAAACAGAACTGTCAAGGATCCCCACCCTAGAGAGCTTTTATGGTGGCTTTTCCGCCCACCATGCATGAATACATGGATAGCATTATGCTCCTTCCTTAGTCTTCTTATTCAAAGATTTGGGCACATCTGAACCGGCCAGGACAAGACACTAAAAACATTAGACGATCAAATCTGTTTTTCCAAGGCTTCTTGATTAGAAATTAATGTTTTTAACATAGCCATGACACTTTAGATTGGAATTTAAAATACAATTTTGTTTTAAGCGAAAATGTCAAAAGTTGATATATGATATGTCATTCTATTCAGAGTGTCATTTTCTATCCAATAAAGTAAAAAATACCTAGGGTGCCATTTATAAATGAAAAGTTGTATTAATTTCCGGTGAAACAGGAAGTGGCCGAAAAGAATTGAGTACGTAAATCAATCCTAATTTGAGACGCGTGAGTCACTTTTGAGACGCACCCGGTATATGATCTGTAAAATAATAATTTCTGATTTTGTTTCAGATAAAAGAGTTGATTATAAAACCGACAACAGAAAAATTTTGAAATGTATGGATGATTAAGTATTAGTAAAATAAAAATAAAAACCAACATTTTTGCTTGTTTTATTACTAAATAAATTTAATGAAGCGTTCGCAAAAAAATGTTTATAACTTTATTATTAGCACATTGGTGAAATTTAAAAAAAAATATATATTTTTTATATTAATATCTGCATTTCATTTTAACCAAGTCGTCTTTAGTTTACGTAATCCACAATATGGTACTTCACACAGAATGGTATGTCTGATATATGCTGTAATTTTTAGAGTCCATCAAGTAAAAATTAAAAAAAATCCAATTTTTTTTGCCTCATAGACGTGTTTCTGAGGTTGAAATATACTACCCCTAAAATATTTGCACTTATTTAAGACTCACCCTGTATATATAAACGTTTAAAGAGGTTTAAAGAATACCACGGATCGCCATCTATTATGAAGACACAAAACTCAAGGCAGCTCTCTATATCACACAGCAGTTTAGAATTCGGTGAATGCGCCAGGCAACCATACTCTTTCAAGCTCTTACTTTATACAGGGAGTTACAAATAATCAAAAAGTTTTACTACAAATAATAGTACTTGATCTCGATATTTTACGAAGACCAAAACATAATTTTATCTGTGTATTTTTTCTGAATAACATAGGCTTGTTTTAAATGAATTTAAATTTAGATATAGGTATTTATTTTTTGCTCCAAAAATTTAGATAAAGTAAAAATAAAACATAAATACTCTGGTTTCTATTTTTATGTATAAGTTTGTCTCTAATAATATTAACGAAATTATTTTTAGATTCTTAAAATATTTCGTGTCATCACATAATTAACATTTTTCTTTTTAAAAATAATTTTTCTACTTTTTGAACATACCCGGTACATAAAATAATCGATTTAAGTTAACCGTTATTTCTTATATCTGTCTTTTTTTGGTACATTCAAAATCTCTAGCTATAAACAGGGATAGAGGAGGATATAATTTGGAGTAAAATTTCTCTACTAGCAATCCAACAGAAATAAGATAGATTTCACAGGTTAGAATTTCAACGTCATGCTCTCTATGTTATGTTATTTTGTGTTGTTTTGGTTTAAGGTAGTTTCACATAGAAATATTTGAATTATTAAACGTAGAGAATATGTGATTTTTTTTTTTTCGTTTATTATAGTTTAGTTTTTATTTTATATTTTATTAATTTTTGTGTTTAAAAAAAACAAACAATGAATCCTTGTATTATACCAACTGCATCCGAAGACACTGTAGGAGATGGGAGGTGGATATCTATGGTAAGTATTTCTATAAGTATTTGAGTATACCCTTTTAATATACTGGTTTTAAATAAACATATTATATTTCGAAAAATATTTATGTAGTTATTTGAATTTTGTTTAAAGATATAGTAATAAACTAAAAGAATTTAAAAAAGTTAAATACGATTAATAAATGCCCTACTAGCGTTGCGGAAGCTACAAATAAAACGTTTGAGATACTAATACAATTATACAATTTACAACTGAGAAAAATAACAGTAGGTATGTCGTCTATACAAACGAATAAAGACTTATTTTTAGCTAATCTAGCTCTTTTAATAGAAAAAGATAAAAATCTATAATTTTTAAATTTATATGTGTGTGTTTAAAATTCAGAAAAGATTAGATATGTGTTTTAAAAACATTAAATAACAATATACTATTATATTATCAAAGATATTTAAACTAATTACAACCGAGTTTAAATATCTTTGTATATTATCATAAGATATTTAAAGTGTGTTTATTAAAATAAATTGTTTGTTATTACTATTACCACACGATAAAAAAAACAGCGTCAAAAGGGTCGGGGAAATAAAGAAAAGTACGGTAGACCCAAATAATGACGTCTAGAGCTTGACCTTGTCAAAATTATCATCGATTATCGTTCCCCAGCCGTCTTTGACGCCGTTTTTTTCGACTGTATGGTAGTAGAAATAACAAATTGTTTATTAGGCATAATCGTCTAACAATAGGTCGTCCTCACAGAAAACACCATCCGTTGTCATACAAAGGTGACTGTGACGGCGTTTTTTTATCGTATTGTGTAAAAAAGTTTTCACTAGAGGATAGGTATCCAAAAAACGGCTGAAAAAAATAATAATCTCATTCTGAATTAAAAGGCTGATTGTCTTATAGGTGAATACCGATGCCATATAGACTATACAGGGTGTCCCAGAAATAGTATAGTTCAATCCCAGGAGCACGCCTATGAGGTTTTTTTCGCGAAAAGATTTTTTTGAAAATTTTTTTGGATTTTTTTTTAGTTAAAAAACATAATTTCTTGATAATATGACAACATAGGGATTAGATTAAATTTACAACAAAGAAAATCCAGAAAAGATCCAGTGGTTCTCAAAATTTTAGCAAAAATACATTTTTTTTTTGGAAATTTTCATAGTAAAATAACTCCGTTATTTTGGAAAAACGATAAAGAGAAAATACGTTTCTTTTATCGAGATCTACCACCCCTTAAAATTCTTACACTTATTTCTGGGACACCCTGTATAGGTGATAAATGAGTAATGAGTAGGTAGCTGTTTTATTCTTGTTTTATTGTACTAAATTGGAAATTACCAAAGGTCAAGGGTCATAATTTAACTGTCTGGTTTCTGCCTTATTAAAAAAACCTTTGGCATTAGCAGCATTCCTGGAATATTTTTTATATTCTTAAATATGTTTTTTTTTTTCTCAGAGGTTTTATTTTAAGTCTATGTTTGATATACTTAGATAAAATATTCTACAGGGTGAGTCTTAAATAAGTGCAAATATTTTCAGGGCTGATAGATCTCGATAAAAGAACCATATTTTCTCTTTGCGGTTTTTCAAAATAACCGAGATACCGTAAAATGGGGTGAATAGAAACATAGTGGTGAATAGAAACAAATTTTCTGAAAAAAATCAAATCACGATTAAAAATATTCAAAGTAAAAAGAGTCGACATATCTAATTTTTCTATCATTGGTAATACACAATAAAATGTAAAAACTATATTTTTATCTGTGGCAGCACTGTTTCTGTCAATCAGCTCATCAATAAATGTGAGATCGATTTATCACCCTATTTTGTATGGCGCGAAAACTTTATAAATAAAATATTTATTTTTAAAGTAATACATAAGCTGGTACATGTAAGTTGTCATATTATATGTATTGTTATTTATTGTTAAACCTACTTAAATATGTAATAATTTACTGTTTCTAATCACCTTGTTGGAAGTAGAATAGATAAAAACATTAACATCAATGTGTGTTTCTATTCTCCCCGATAGCAGGTGAATAGAAACACAAATGTTATTTTTATTTAATATTTATATGCATATTTTTCAAAAATCAAATTATATGTATACGCAGAGAACAAACAAAGACCCATGTTTTAAAATATTCGGGAAAATAATACCACATTTTTATCAACCGGTATATCGCTAATAGCCTACGAAACTGTTTCTATTCACCCCATTTTACGGTATTTTACTAAAAAAAAATACAAAAAATTGATTTTTTCCTTAAATTTCGAAAACCACTGAATCTTTTCTAGGTTTTCTTTCCTATAAATTTAATCTATCATCTAAGTTGCCATATATTATGAAGATATTATGTTTTTGTGTGGTCTGGTATAAGTATTTTTATTTCAGCACAACAGATTTGTACAACAAGCAAAGACCAGCGAACCAGAGGTGGTCTTTATTGGTGACAGTATCATTCAGCAATTACAGTTCAGCACTCTATGGACTGAGAGAATCAGTGCCTTACACTGTATAAACTTTGGTATTGGAGGTGATAGGTACGTACGTCATTTCTATACTTTGAATAAAAATATTAAGGAAGAAGCTAAAAAAAATCCTTTTTTGATAAAATGGATGACAATGAAACAAAGTCTGAGCCTTTTGCACCAAGTGAATCACTGATTATCAGCCATCTGAAAGGTCTGATTCTATCGATGTTGAAAGCATATAGTTTGATTTATCATTATTTTCACTATCACTACATCAGTAAGTTAGGCGGTTTTTCTCTTACAAATACTTAGATATCTGCCGTGTGGTTGATCTGAATAAAACTGCACGAGGAAGAAAAATCTTATCATTTCATATAGACGTAACGTAACACACTCTAAAAGGCAACACATGAAAGATCTTCTTCCCTTTATCCCGCCTATATTCCATAATTTTTATAAAAATCGAAGAAAACACTATTAATAGGCAATGTGAAGTCAACAAATCCCTTAATGACGAAGAAGAATGTACCGATGAACAAATTTATATCTAAAATTTCAAATACACACACCGGAAAAGTCTAGGGATATTACAATTTTATCCAGCCATCGTCAGTAATTTTATTATTTGCATTTCTGATATAATAAATTTAAAATAAACAAATAGTTTACAGGACGTATTGGAAATAAAAATGCGAAATTTACCGATTTTTTCAAATTTACCTTGATTTTTATTGAACTCAAAAAAATACACACATTTTTTTAAATTCTAAACTGTGAATTAAAAAAAAAAGATAAAACCATTTTTACTTAATAAAGGGTATGACCTCTACTGTTCATTACAGCCCTACATCATCTCTCCATGCTCCTGATCAGGTTGTCGATCTCTTCTTGAGGTACAGCCTGCCACGCTGCATTCACGGCCCGAACCAGATCCCTACGAGTTTCACGAGGCATACCCATTCTCAAAATTCTTCTTTGGACCGCGTCCCATACGTGCTCGATGGGGTTGAGGTCTGGAGATTGTGCCGGCCAGGGTAAGATGTTTAATTGATGAGCATTGCTAAACTCACTTACCACTCTGGCTGTATGAGGCCGTGCATTGTCATGCATGAGAATGAAGTTTCTCCCAAAATCATTGGCATATGGTAACACGACAGGCTCAACAATTACCCTTTCAAGAAAAACGAGATCGGTTTTTCGGCCAAACTGGACTCCTCCCCAGACCATAACCGTGCCACCTTGATAAGGGTGCACATCCTGAACATGATCCAACCGAATAAGTATTCCCGGTTCTCTCCATGCCCTAAGCCTTCTCGAATCCGGATGAATTCCAAAGCGGGACTCATCCGTGAAGAGAACATTGACCCATTGTTCATTCGACCACTGAACATGATCTTGAGCCCACAAATATCGTACCTCTCGATTTCCTCTCGTTAAGGGTTGAGCTCTCCAGGTGCGTCTGCTTCTTAAGTTGACCTCTCTTAATCTATTGCGAACAGTGTCAGGACTAACGGTTACATTATGTGTTTCCTGGAGAATTAAACTAAGCTCTGGTGCTGTAAGAGTCGGTCGGCGCCGGCGTCGAGCATTTAATTGTAAAAAATGATCTTGCTGAGGGGTAGTAATGCGATGTCGCCCTGTGTGCCTTTCAGCAACATCACCACTTTCACGGTAGCGTGCACTTAATCGCGATATTACACTTTGCGTTGTATTTAATGCTCTAGCTACGTCGATTTGGCGCATTCCAGTTTCGAGCATACCCATGGTTTTTAGCATTTCGTGTCTGTTAAGATGTCTACGCTTCATAATGTCGTTTAATACTAAACAGAGTTATTTGAATGAATTCTGGCCAGTTATCATAAAAACATAGCCAGTACAGGTTAAATTCGAACAATTGATGCTAGGTGTTTTTTATACATTTGACAAAAAATGCACAAACACTTCTACAAATATCCCAAATTTAGAAATAACTAGTGTGACTACTTCGTTTCAATCGAAGTAGAAAGAATCGGCCTACAAATATGTGGTTGTTTATTCAAAACATTTATTTTTAACTTTAATAAAATTATATTCCTAGATTTTTCCGGTGTGTGTATTTTCAGTTGTATTTTGGGTTACTTTAGTTTGCAATTATACCATTTAAAATATAATAAAGCAAGTTTTCTTCTCCAGCTTGTTTTATTTTAATCAAGTAATATTAAAAAATTTTAACTCTCATTTTCTCCATAATTATCTACTAGGACTTGATCCAGTTCATTTCTGAACCCCTCATATAAAGTTCAGAAAAGTACAAAATGTGTTCTAATTCACGAATACATGGATAACATTATACTCCTTTCTTAATCTTTTTATTCAGAGGTTTTAACACTATAAAATAGATTATTTTTGATGATTTTTATTTGTTTTTGAAAATCTTAATGCTTCTAGGGTAGAAAACGTGTTATGGAGAATAGAAAATGGAGAATTTGATTTTAACACTCCTATAAAAGCAGTAGTTCTGTTTGTGGGAACAAATAACACTGATTGTACACCTCACGAAATTTTTGAAGGGATTTTGGAAATAATCAAGGCAATTAAGAATCGTTTGGGCAAAGTTTACATTGTTATACCTGTAAGTATATAATTTTACGAAAATTTTGCAAAAATACCGTATGATTGAAAAAAAAACGGCGTCAAAGACGACTGGGGAATGACAATCTATGATAATTTTGGCGAGGTTAGTCTCTAATTGATATAAAAATCATTTTTACTCAATATAAAAATCAATTACAACTTTCTTAACTGGCAGTAAGCACCGTTAAAAGATAAACAAGAGTGCTAGGGCTTGACCTCGCCAAAATTGTCATCGATTGACATTTCCCAGCTGTCTTTGACGCCGTTTTTTTTTCATATGAAGAAATATATCCTTTTTGTTTCTTTTTTTAGACTATTTTACCTAGGGGTCAGTTCCCCAATCCGTACAGAGAAAGAAACGATCACGTGAACACGTTTTTGATCGATAAATTCTCGAATGAAGCTAACAAAGATGAGCTCACAGAAAATGTGTACGTGGTACCAATTCACGAGAACATTGTAGGGAACGACCAAACCATATCACATCACATCATGCATGATTATTTACATTTAACCAACAACGGATATACAAAAATATTTGGGAAAGTATACGACAAGTTGTGTGAATTGTTAAAATCTAAATAAAAAATATTCTATTTTTATTAAACTTACAGGATATGATTTTATTTATTTAATTTAATTTTGACTTCTTTAGGTTTTAGTTTTTTTTTGTGTGTATAAATTTTTGCCAATGGATATTAAACATAATACATAATTATTTGTAAGATTATACTTTGCGATTTTTTAGACAATAAATATAATATTTTTACTATTTACATAAAAGGATTTATTAGTTTATTTTACATTTTTTCTAAAAAAAAAAATATCTGCATTCTTTTTGCTATATATTAAGTCGTAATATTATGTACACTTTGTATTATCTATCACTCTTCCATAGATCTTTGCTTGCTTCAACCATTTTGATTACGAAATTTTGGATTTGGACTGATCTACTCTCCACACTATCCAGAATATTTCCGTGGTTAGGTTCGTGATCTGTATCGTACGAAGTTATACAGAGATTGGTTATAAAACTGAATCCAAAAACTGTCATTCCACAATGTTTGGCTACGATAACTTCTGGAACTGTTGACATACCTACGGAGTAAAATTAGATAAGTCAAATATTAATTGAATTTAATTTTATTTCGTTAATTTTAAGTCTCTGCAAGTAAATTCTGAGAGAAGGCGCACTCGTCGAAGCTCATTCTTCCTACCCCTATATCTCTGTGATTAAGCTATGTCTTTGAATAAGAAGACTAAAGGAAGGAGCATAAAGCCCCGTTCTCAGAACTGCGACTGTCGCCAGCGAGACGACAAAAGAACCAATCAGATTTGTACAAAATTCAAACAGCTGTCAATTTTAAATTTAGTACAGCTCCCATTGGTCGTTTGAAGTGTCAATCAGTGTCGCTGTCGACACGACGCAGTTCTGAGAACGGGGCTTAATGCTATCCATGTATTCATGCATGGTGGGCGGAAAAAGAACTCTAGGGTGGGGATCCTTGACAGTTCTGTTTGACGATTCATTTGACGCATTTGAATTTGATTTGAAATTTTGTGGATTTGTCAGTCTTTACGGAGCTTATTTTATGTTATTTATTATTTATTCTACTACTGATAGTTGTATAAAGGTAGTAAATCTAGATGGAAATTGTAGCAGAACTTAAATTAACAGTGACACTATCGCGATTTATCGAAAAAGACTCTAAAATAGTTGGTTGTGTAGCGTGCGGTAGATCTCGGCAAAAATTGAGTGAAATAATGGAACGATTAGAATTATATATTTTTATAACAATTTTAATAACTACCAACATTTATTCACAACGTAAAACAACAAATTATTGAGTCTACCCAACGTCTACCCTACATCATAGTTTTACATGTTTTAAATAAAATTAGAACGGCACTGATAAACCGGAATTTAAGTCGGCCATATTTGAGGCCCATCGCGATGGACCTAAGATTTTTGATATGCTCCTTCCTTAGTCTTCTTATTCAAAGAGCTATGTTAAGGCCCCACGTTGGGCACCATAATGTGACCTTGGATTTGGGTTTTGTTGGCAAAAAACATATCCGTCCCTTTATTTATTGCAAGACTACTTACTAGATACTAAATAAAAATGAATATTTACCTACGGCATCTACCCCTAACATTAAAAGAGCTCTAGATTCAGCGACTGTTTCATAATTCGGTCCTGATACAATAGCATAAACACCTTCATGACAGTTACTTTTTAATCCTACTTGTTTGGCTATGTCGCGAGCTATACTGATCAGTTTTTTGTTATAAGCTTTGTTCGTGGGAATAAATCTGTCACCAAAATTGTCATCGTTGGGACCTCTTAAGGGATTCTCACCTGAAAAAATAATAGAAACTCAGATAAATAATATAAATTGATCGGACCTAACATATACAAACTAAATGCTAGATTGTCACAATTTCGTTTTATTATTATTTTATATGGTTTTTATTATGTATTACATACCTCCAAAAGAGAGAAAATTGAAATGGTCTTTCAAAATCATCACATCGCCTACTTTGTACTGGGGATTCAACCCTCCAGCTGAATTTGTTATAAACAAACCCTCGACACCTAAGAGCTTCATTATTCTTATTGGTTTCGTTATTTCTCTAACTGAGTATCCTTAAAAAGAACAATATGAGTTTTATATTTACTGTAAAACCGTCTCAAATATTGGCTTTTGTCAAAGTCCTTAGATTGTATTATAAGCTACAACCACAGCTTACAGAATAACATAGCTTTGACACTCGCCAATTTTTCCCACGCTCGAATTTAAAACGCCCCACTCCGACGATGCGCTAACTGAATTAAGCGACCGACAGTCAGCCTCATTCAGTCGATGCATAGCCTCCACCGGTGGCGCGTAGGGCCGTATTACGGCAGATTTTAATTCGATTTTTTTTCTTATATTTAACCATAGGTATTTTTGCTTTTATTTCAATTTTATTTTTATTGATGGAATGGGAAAAGGTTTTCCGGGATGTGCGGCTGCTGGTTGCACAAATAATTATGGAAATAATTCAAAATATAGTCTGTTTAATTTTCAATTCAATTCAAAAGTATATTCAAAAATTAATGTTCAATTCAAAAGTATATTCACACTTTAGAGCTTTTCAAAACGATGAAGACTACTTATTTGGAGGCTTGCTAATGCCAAGTGACCATTTTTTTATTTAGTTTCCTCATTGGAGGCTATTTTTATAAGCTTTTATTTAACTTGCTTTGTATGTAACTATCTATGTATGTATGTATGTTTGTTCAGGGGCAAATCTTGTAAGCTAAATTTAAACCACTTCCTTTTATTGTAGGAGATTGAAATTTGGCATGTAGGTTCAGTCCCGATGACAATACATTTTTTGCAAGGCATGACCCGAATTTTTGACAGCTGTCAAAATGGCGGCATTTTGAGGTTTTGATTTTTTAAAATTCTATTTATTATATATATATATATATATATATATATATATATATATATATATATATATATATATATATATATATATATATATATATATATATATATATATATATATATATATATATATATATATATATATATATATATATATATATATATATATATATATATATATATATATATATATACAGGTTGTTAACTCGACAGTTACTTATAGGGAAACAGAATGGCAACAATGCCTATTGAGAACGTATGCATTATTGATTTTTCTGCCGACTCGTCCCGTCGCGTCGTGTATCGACGAGCGGGCCGAGGTTATTTCAACCATAAAACTCTTGCCGCGAGTAATGAACAATTTAACAACCTGTATAGGTATATTGTGGGTATATATATATGAAAAAAAATATATGGGCGGCCATCTTGAAAAAATGACAGTTTAATGACATGTCAAAATTTCAGTCAACCGATTTTCATAAAAATTGATATATAGGGTGGCCAAAATGATGATGTGACAGCTGTCAAATAATTTCAAATTTGTCCGATTTTGATAAAAATCGATATATTGGATGCCCCCTACCCCATAGTCGGTTTTCATTTTATTTGTCTCACATTTGAACTGTCAAATTTAACAGCTGTCGTTTTTTTTAAGTTCTCCTTTTTTAATGAAAATCGATATACATATTATTAGGATACCCATAGAAAGTTATTTAAGAAAAAAATTGAGTTTAAGTGTGTGGCACTGAGAAACAAGCATAACTAAAAAGTAGATGATAAATTTTATAAAAAAACCTTTTTTAAAAACAAGCTTTTATTTAAATACACTAAAAAGAATAAAATAAACTCTTTTTCTTTAAAACTTTTATTATAAACTTAGAACGTCATTACACAATTTTAATATTAGATATATAAAAGCTTGTCGCGAGATTTCTCTACATCGATAAACAAGTAAATTAACTAAAACCTGTGTCTACCCTGTCTCATTCTCAAAGTTTCTGTTATGATAGACCACTAGACCAGGAATTACAAGATAAAGTTGTCGTACCAGATTTTTATGAGTGCAAATGTACACTCAAATCTCGCGACAAGCTTTTATATAATATTAAAATTGTGTAATGACGTTATAAGTTCATAATAAAAGTTCTAAAGAAAAAGTTTATTTTATTCTTTTTAGTGTATTTAAATAAAAACTTGTTTTTAAAAAAGTTTTTTTATAAAATTTTTCAGAACAATTTTGAAGAACTTTTCTTAAATGAAAATATATTATGTAAATTCGTTAAATTATTTCAGACAATTAAATTCAACCATCAATCAAAATTTTCCTATAATGTATTTTTTGTTAAATTTATACGCAAAAGTTAGAAATTATTATACCTTAAAGAATATTACTAAGAACTTAAATGTAGCAAACAAAAACCGAAAGCTCCTAATTTAGAAACATTCGTAAATAACTATAAGTAATCAATGTACTTATTTCATTTTGCTGTTATTTCTAGAAATAAATTAATTAATTTGTTTTTTAAATGTTTTTCTTTGAGAATGCATATTTATTTAAAGTCAACAATTTAAAAAACGTGTATCTAAATTATGTTTAGCACCAGTCGAATAATTTTTTACGTCACGTGTAAAATTTTTTTGAATACATCTCTGGGCTGACTGGCGCTTACGCGGCTATTGGTTTTGGCGAGAGAGCTCGCCGCTCTAGTGTTCCCCCTCTTTCGAATCGCAAATCCGAGCGTAAAAAGATCAAAGCGGCACGCTACACTGTCCGAGCTGGTCTTTACTTAAGCCCCGTTCTCAGAACTGCGACTGTCGCCAGCGACACGACAAAAGAACCAATCAGATTTGTACAAAATTCAAACAGCCGTCAATTTTAAATTTAGTACAGCTCCCATTGGTCGTTTGAAGTGTCAATCAGTGTCGCTGTCGACACGACGCAGTTCTGAGAACGGGGCTTTAACCTGTGCTACAACTCAAAAAAGTGGGGCACACAATAGTCATTTTTCTTATTCCTCTTTCATCAAGAACTATACCAATATTTCTACATTTATATACAGGGTGGTCCGAACTGTATTTCGGAAACCTCACAGCAGATTCTGCAGATAAAAACAAGTAAATAAGTTCGTACAAATGTATGTTTGAAAATGCTTAGTTTCGGAGATACAGGGTGTAGAAGTTTCATTTTTATTTCTATTGTTTCCAAATAAATTCCGAAGTAACGTCAATATTTGGATGAAAATTGGCGTCTAGGAGTTTTTTGACATGAGAAATTTTATTTGGATGTCAATATGACTCCTGTTTGTAGGGGGCGCCGCCTACATGTGTTTTTTAACTGTTTTGAAAAGTAATTACTTATTACTTTTCGTCCGTACCTGTATAAAACTACTGAGTGAAAAAATATACATTTCCATGATTTTTTATGTAAAAAATGTCTCTTGGTAAAAATCGCTACGAGCAACCGTTCTCGAGATATTTAGAATGAAATAATCAATACTGACATGAAATGAAACTTCTATACCCTTATCTCAGAAACTAAGTATTTTATGACATACATTTTTAATAACTTTTTTACTTATTTTTATCTGCGGACCACCCTGTAGAATAGGTATATAGGGTGTCATTGAAATGGTGACCCTATATCAAATGTAATACTGAAAAATGTAATAAATGTGTAAATTTTGACCCTATATCAAATGTTGATACTGAAAAATTATTTGGGAAAGCGGAAAGGGTAAATTTTGCAAGGGTATAGGGGGTTGTTTCGCGAATAACTTTTTTGAGGTTATTTTTTTTACAACGTGGGTTCATTTTTTGAAAACTACATCCTTTTTCCTTCAAAAAAGGTACTCTTGTTGCACATCGCCCAGAGTGATGGTTTTCGAGAAAATTTAAGGCAAAGAGTTTGCTCTGACGGGTTGCTAACTGGTTAATCAACATAAACTTATGAAAGTTATGGCAGTTCAAAAGTAACCAATTAGCTATCAAATAATTAATTAAAAAATCAAAATTTCATTATTTCTAAAACATCTTATTGCTTTAAAAAACGAAATAACCCACTAGATTTCTACTTCTGGGGCGACATGAAAGCTTTGGTTTAGGTACTCAGTACCGATTAATACTGAAGAGCAACTACGGCAACGCATTATTGATTGTTCCAATCCAATTCGGACAACACCAAAGATATTCCACAGGGCACGCAGATTTTGGAGAAGAAGAGCAGATGTCTGCATTGAAATGAATGGTGGTCACTTTGAACATTTACTATGAATGAATTAAGGAATGCATTATTTTAATAAGAAATTTTGGTAACTGGTTTATTTCATTTTTAAAGCAAAAAGACGTTTTAAAAATTATGAAATTTTGGTTTTCCAATTAATTATTTAATAACTACTTGGCTACTTTTGAACCGCCATAACTTTCATAAATTTATGATGATTAACCAGTTAGCAATCCATCAGAGCAAACTCTTTGGCTTCAATTTTCACGAAAACTATCACTCTGGGCGATGTGCATCAAGAGTACCTTTTTTGTAGGAAAGGGTATATAGTTTTCAAAAAATGAACCCACGTTGCAAAAAAAATAACCTCAAAAAAGTTATTCACAAAACAACCCCCTACCCTTGCAAAAACTACCCTTTCCGCTTTTCCAAATAATTTTTCAGTATCACCATTTAGTTTAGGGTCAAAATTTATGGCAGGGGATTTTTTTTCAAAATTTTATCTCGTTTTTTAAGCCTACAATTTCAAAACAACCGTTTTTTAAATTGACCCTTTCAGTGCCCCTAACTCCCTTCATATGCATTTTCGCCCTATACTTATAGGAACTTTTTTTACTATTTTTAGGAGTATTATCACCCCCCGATTTTTTTTACACCATTTCAATGACACCCTGTATTACTCTCATACAGAATATCACAATATATAAAGTACGTCTGCTGGATCTGTGTCTAAGAAAGGAATTCGGACAAAAAAACATTTAAATAAACAGCAATATATTTTATACGTCGTCTTGACGAGTACGTCACCGCAAATCGCTCCGCCCACTCATTTTATTGGCTACTTGCAAATTTGTCGAATTTTTATTGATGGTACGCGTCGTCTAATTTTTTACGTAAAACATCGAGAGAATATCGTTTCCCCTCTCACGGATACCCCGTAGCTACAGAACGAACAGACGCACAGTGATGCAGAAGTTCCCAATAGCGGCAGAAAATCAAAATATCAGAAGTATTTTTTTTTTAATTATAATTTCACTCGTATAGTTCCAAATAGTCCATATTTTCAGAATCGTGAAGATTTTTGAATAAAAACGGCCCCATTATTAATCCCTGATAAGAAATGTTCAAGCTTATAAGATTATTAGCTGGAGCTAAAATATTTTGATTAAATTTTGGTTAAATAAAATTAGTGCGTTTAACGTTGGCGATAAATTAGCTAAAAACTGATGGTACTCTGAGAAAGTACAATGTTTTCAACTGTTTTTCCTCATGGTAATTCTAGTTTTAACTTCTCTGGTACCATAAAAAAATCAATAAAGACCTTGATGTAATTAAGAACTGCTTAATCTAAAATCACATTTTATGTAAGCTAATACAAAATGCTCCAAATTGCTCCAAAAAAATATGATGTAGGTTACAATTATTAGCCTTTTTTCTTCATAACTACGAAGTTTCATGACCAACATTAACCCACAAATACCCTTTAAGTTTGCCTAACTCTCCAAAATCATATTTAGTTTCCCAAAATAAATTACGTATGACAGTATATTACTGGGTGTTTCTTAGGTGCTGTCAAATATTGTTGTTGGTTATTTTTAATTAGTTTTAGAAAGGAAACTGTAATATATTTTCTCTTATTCAATTTAATTTTCGATATACAAAGTATTCAAATTTTAAAATAATTTTTAATGTGTAATTTTAACTAGCTTTTCCCAGTTAAGCCTAAAAGTTTTTATTCGTTTTGTGCTTATATGACATTAAATTTAATATTATTAGAAATCTCATTAATTTAGAATAATTATTGTTAATATAAACTACAAAGACGTGTCAATGTGTCTATGATGCGTCAATATTCAGTCAACAATTTTTATTAATAATGTCATGCACCTTCTAGATACTAATTTTCTCGGATATAGTAAGAGATCACCTCTCAAGTAAAATAAAGCGACTTCTCCTGTCAAGTAAAATAGAACTGCATCCTGAGGCTCCAAAACTTATTATAGATTAAATTGTTCTATTTTTTATCCATTTGCTAAATCCATCTTAAATATATTATCCATCTTATCTAGAAGCTTTAGGGTAATATTTAGTTTCTTTTTCTTGCGTATTAAATTCTTGTAACTAAGTTCTAATTATAATCCAAGTATAATATTTTTACCACAGGTAATTACAGATATTTCCAAATTATAGAACATTTAAAAATATAACTAAAATTAAATGGTTGTAAGTGAACAACTGCTTACATCTAATGCGAAAAGAGCGCTCAGTCTTTTAGATGTTTTGGTATTACTTTCATTAATAGCTAACTAGATAAAATATTAAGATCTATTTAGTTTCTTTTTTTCTCATGGAAATGAATGTAAATATATTTTTTAAATTGAATTTAACTAATACTTATTGGTAACTAGTTCTGAAAAAAGGATTAATTATATTAAAACGAAATGCTAATTCTATTGTAAGGGGCTGAAAATAAAACCCTGTATATTTATTTATTAGTAGTTATAAACTTGTTTTGAGTGTTTAAACTTTACAAAGAATAGAGTATTAAATTAATATGCTATTAAAGACAAAATAATATAATTAAATTTTTACAACCCATTTTTTATTTTTTACAGCCAATTTAAGTACACTCTGTATACATAATTCAATTTTCTGAATTAAAAACATCACTTATATACTTGGGAAACCACATTTAACAAAAATAATTTTAAAAAATGTAGTAGTAAGTTGAGAAATTATTTTTTGCCACTTTTCGCGTTTTCGGCATCACTGTGAGACGTACTGTACAGGGTGGGTCAAATGCGACGTTTTTAAATGGAAACACCCTTTTCTATAGGAGATGGACGAAAACTAATATCGGTGTCTGGAGCTCAATTTTTGTCAAAAACATGATGGTGAAAACCGCATATCGATATCTGTTACTGTTTCGGAGTTACGGGGTGTTTTTCAAAAATATGCATTTTTAACAAATCGCTGTAACTTTTTTGCTATGGAAAATTTTGTATTTTTATGAAAACATTTCCAAAAGCACCTTTTTACGTAAATTTAATGGTTTTAGGGTATAATTTTTTTTAAAATTAATAATTTAAGAATTATCAACAGAAATTTGATTTTTTATATGGGACACCCTGTATATTTTTAATTTACTTGAAAATAATTTAAAATTACAACTTTCAAAAATATAACACACTTGATATTTTGCTCGATTCCTCTTCGAGATATAGAGTATATAAAAATTCGCCCGCTTTAAATAAGTAGGCTTTGAACGGCACCGGTTGTAATGCAAAAAAATTCTAGCTGTGAGAATCAATTAAAACGAAAATAATATTTGCTATGAGAGATGCAGAATTGTATAACAATTTAAAATATATTTAACCAACATCAACACATTTAAACTATATCTAATAACAATAAAAATAAATAGCAAACCAAGACATGAGATTTTGCTACAGGTGTTCGACATATCGACCGTCTTCTGTTAGGGGCAGTTTTTGAACATTTCTCGCGGAATTCATTAACTTCTTGTCTAGATTATACTGAAGAATAAAGAACCTTTATTCTTCCGCAAATATATCCATAAGATAGGATCCATGGGCACTAAGTCAGGCGGCCTCGACGGCCAATGGCTGGGATCTTGGTTAGCTATTCAATTATTCTTGAAATTAGCTGCAAAAATGTGCTGATAACTTCAGCGTTCCGAGACGGCGCGTCGTCTTGCTGGAAAAATATGTTTTCGAGTTCCATTAAGGGCATATCATCAATAAGGGTCCAAAGCCTACTAGTTAAAAGTGGCGCACTTTTAAAAATTCTGTATTTCGAAGGGAATTATCACAAAATATCAAGTGTGCTATATTTTTGGAAAGGTATTTTAAATTTTTCAGTTAATTAAAATATGGAGAAGTGTCCCAAAAATCAATTTATCTGTTGATAACTCTTAAATTATTAATTTAAAAAATATATACTTAAACCATTAAATTACATGAGATGCTTTGGCTCTAAATGTTTCCACAACGTACAAAAATTACGGCCCTTGTTAACACCGTAATCGAAACAATAACGAATATTGAAAACAGCGGCTGATTTGTTAAAATGCACATTTTTGAAAAACACCGTAACTCCGAAACGGTAACAGATATTGATGTGCGGTTTTCACCATCATGTTTTTGATGAAAAATTGAGCTCCAGACACCGATATTAAGTTTTCGTCTCATCATGTTCTGAAAGTGAGCTCAGACGCCGATAATTATCGTCTGGTGTTTCCATTCGCATCCTGTGTTTATTCTTTATCTACCTTCAAAATAATGGAACCTTCCTTGCATACAAACCACGTTGACATGGCTGAGCGTTCCAAAGACCAGCCTCCCATGATGCCCTTGGACAGTACTGACTGGGAAATGTGGAATTTCCTCATAATTTATGCTGACGGGATTTTCAACCAAATCAGCCAAACTACCTAATAAAATACAAAAATATAGATGAACCATTTTTTAGAAATAATCAATTAATTTTCGTAATCTATACTAATATATAAAATCCTTAAGTGACTGACATACTGATTAATCTTGCTCAAACCACTCAACGTAAGAAGCTCAATTTTGGCATACAGGTTGATTCTGGGGTATGGGAGTTCGATGAAGGGAAGGGGACGAAATTCCAGTTCCAGAGGTGAAACCACCCCTCAAATATTACAATATTTTTATTTAAAAAACGGTCAAGTTTTCCGAAAACGCTTAAGAAACACGTATATTTTATTTTTGTTTTTTACATATTTTAAGATTTTTTTAAAAATGTATACAGGGGTGTTTCGAAAAATCTGGTCATTGATCAATCACGATCCTAGCAAAGCGCTTGACGTAAAAGCTTAAAGCTTGACGTAAAAGCTGATTTTTGGAAAACAGATTGACTTTAGAGGTTCGATATGAGAGGGATTTTTCTGAAATTCCAGTTCCAAGAGGGTGAAACCACCCCTCAAATATTACAATATTTTTATTTAAAAAGAAACGTCAAGTTTCCGAAAACGCTTAAACACATATATTTTATTTTGTTTTTTACATATTTTAAGATTTTTAAAAATGTATACAGGGTGTTTCGAAAATCTGGTCATTGATTAATCACGATCCTGCTTAAAGCGCTTGACGTAAAAGCTGATTTTTGGAAAACAGATTGACTTTAGAGATTGTAGAGGTTCGACATGAAGGGATTTTTTCGAAATTCCAGTTCAAGAGGTGAAACCACCCCTCAAATATTACAATATTTTTATTTAAAAAAACGGTCAAGTTTCCAGAAAAACGCTTAAAACACGTATATTTTATTTTGTTTTTTTACATATTTTAAGATTTTTAAAAATGTATGCAGGGGTGTTTCGAAAAATCTGGTCATTGATTAATCACGATCCTGTTTAAAGCGCTTGACGTAAAAAGCTGATTTTACACTGGAAAACAGATTGACTTTTAGGATGTAGAGGTTCGACATGAAGGGATTTTTTCGAAACCCCAGTTCCAAGAGGGTGAAACCACCCCTCAAATATTACAATATTTTTTTATTTAAAAACAGTCCAAGTTTCCGAAAAAACGCTTAAACACGTATATTTTATTTTGTTTTTTACATATTTTAAAGATTTTTTTAAAATGTATACAGGGTGTTTCGAAAAATCTGGTCATTGATTAATCAACGATCCTGCTTAAAAGCGCTTGACGTAAAAACTGTTTATTTTGGAAAACAGATTGACTTTAGGGTGTAGAGGTTCGATAAGAGGATTTTTCGAAATTCCAGTTCAAGAGGGTGAAACCACCCCTCAAATATTACAATATTTTTATTTAAAAACGGTCAAGTTTCCGAAAAACGCTTAAACACGTATATTTTATTTTGTTTTTTTACATATTTTAAGATTTTTTAAAAATGTATACAGGGTGTTTCAAAAAATCTGGTCATTGATTAATCACGATCCTGCTTGCTTAAAGCGCTTGACGTAAAAAGCTGATTTTTGGAAACAGATTGACTTTAGGGTGTAGAGGTTCGACATGAAGGGATTTTCGAAATTCCAGTTCCAAGAGGTGAAACCACCCCTCAAATATTACAATATTTTTATTTAAAAACGGTCAAGTTTCCCGAAAAACAGCTTAAACACGTATATTTTATTTTGTTTTTCAATATTTTAAGATTTTTTAAAAATGTATACAGGGTGTTTCCAAAAATCTGGTCATTGATTAATCACGATCCTGTTTAAAGCGCTTGACGTAAAAAGCTGATTTTTGGAAAACAGATTGACTTCAGGATGTAGAGGTTCGACATGAAGGGATTTTTCGAAACCCCAGTTCCAAGAGGGTGAAACCACCCCTCAAATATTACAATATTTTTTATTTAAAAAACGGTCAAGTTTCCGAAAAAACGCTTAAACACGTATATTTTATTTTGTTTTTTTACATATTTTAAGATTTTTTAAAAATGTATACAGGGTGTTTCGAAAAATCTGGTCATTGATTAATCACGATCCTAAGCTTAAAAAGCGCTTGACGTAAAAAGCTGATTTTTGAAAACAGATTGACTTTTAGGGTGTAGAGGTTCGATAAGAGGGATTTTTTCGAAATTCCCAGTTCAAGAGGGGTGAAACCACCCCTCAAATATTACAATATTTTTTTATTTAAAAACAGTCAAGTTTCCGAAAACGCTTAAACACGTATATTTTATTTTGTTTTTACATATTTTAAGATTTTTAAAAATATGTATACAGGGTGTTTTCGAAAATCTGGTCATTGATTAATCACGATCCTGTTTAAAGCGCTTTGACGTAAAAAGCTGATTTTTGGAAAACAGATTGACTTTAGGGGTGTAGAGGTTCGATAAGAGGGGATTTTTCGAAATTCCAGTTCCAAGAGGTGAAAACCACCCCTCAAATATTACAATATTTTTTATTTAAAAACGGTCAAGTTTCGAAAAACAGCTTAAGCAACACATTATATTTTATTTTGTTTTTCACATATTTTAAGATTTTTAAAAGAAATGTATACAGGGTGTTTCAGAAAATCTGGTCATTGATTAATCACGATCCTGTTTAAAGCGCTTGACGTAAAAGCTGATTTTTGGAAAACAGATTGACTTCAGGATGTTAGGGTTCGACATGAAGGGATTTTCGAAACCCCAGTTCAAAGAGGGTGAAACCACCCTCAAATATTACAATATTTTTTTATTTAAAAACGGTCAAGTTTCCGAAAAAACGCTTAAACACGTATATTTTATTTTGTTTTTTACATATTTTAAGATTTTAAAAATGTATACAGGGTGTTTAGAAAATCTGGTCATTGATTAATCACGATCCTGCTTAAAGCGCTTGACGTAAAAAGCTGATTTTTGGAAAACAGATTGACTTTAGGGTGTAGAGGTTCGATAAGAGGGGATTTTTCGAAATTCCAGTTCCAAGAGGGTGAAACCACCCCTCAAATATTACAATATTTTTTATTTAAAAAACGGTCAAGTTTCCGAAAAACGCTTAAACACGTATATTTTATTTTGTTTTTTTACATATTTTAAGATTTTTTAAAAATGTATACAGGGTGTTTCGAAAAATCTGGTCATTGATTAATCACGATCCTGCTTAAAAGCGCTTGACGTAAAAGCTGATTTTTGGAAAAACAGATTGACTTCTAAGGATGTAGAGGTTCGACATGAAGGATTTTTCGAAACCTCAGTTCCAAGAGGGTGAAACCACCCCTCAAATATTACAATATTTTTTTATTTAAAAACCGGTCAAGTTTCCGAAAAACGCTTAAACACGTATATTTTATTTTGTTTTTTTACATATTTTAAGATTTTTTAAAAATGTATACAGGGTGTTTCGAAAAATCTGGTCATTGATTAATCACGATCCTGCTTAAAGCGCTTGACGTAAAAAGCTGATTTTTGGAAAACAGATTGACTTTAGGGTGTAGAGGTTCGATAAGAGGGGATTTTTCGAAATTCCAGTTCCAAGAGGGTGAAACCACCCCTCAAATATTACAATATTTTTTATTTAAAAAACGGTCAAGTTTCCGAAAAACGCTTAAACACGTGTATTTTATTTTGTTTTTTTACATATTTTAAGATTTTTAAAATGTATACAGGGTGTTTTCGAAAAATCTGGTCATTGATTAATCACGATCCTGTTTAAAAGCGCTTGACGTAAAAAAGCTGATTTTTGGAAAAACAGATTGACTTTAGGGTGTAGAGGTTCGACATGAAGGGATTTTTCGAAATTCCAGTTCCAAGAGGGTGAAACCACCCCTCAAATATTACAATATTTTTTATTTAAAAAACGGTCAAGTTTCCGAAAAAACGCTTAAACACGTATATTTTATTTTGTTTTTCACATATTTTAAGATTTTTTAAAAATGTATACAGGGTGTTTCGAAAAATCTGGTCATTGATTAATCACGATCCTGTTTAAAGCGCTTGACGTAAAAAGCTGATTTTTGGAAAACAGATTGACTTCAGGATGTAGAGGTTCGACATGAAGGGATTTTTCGAAACCCCAGTTCCAAGAGGGTGAAACCACCCCTCAAATATTACAATATTTTTTATTTAAAAAACGGTCAAGTTTCCGAAAAAACGCTTAAACACGTATATTTTATTTTGTTTTTTTACATATTTAAGATTTTTAAAAATGTATATACAGGGTGTTTCAAAGAAAATCTGGTCATTGATTAATCACGATCCTGCTTAAAGCGCGCTTGACGTAAAAAGCTGATTTTTGGAAAACAGAGATTGACTTTAGGGTGTAGAGGTTCGACATGAAGGATTTTTCGAAATTCCAGTTCCAAGAGGGTGAAACCACCCTCAAATATTACAATATTTTTATTTAAAAACGGTCAAGTTTCCGAAAACGCTTAAACACGTATATTTTATTTTTGTTTTCACATATTTTGAGATTTTTTAAAATGTATACAGGGTGTTTCGAAAAATCTGGTCATTGATTAATCACGATCCTGTTTAAAGCGCTTGACGTAAAAAAGCTGATTTTTGGAAAACAGATTGACTTCAGGATGTAGAGTGTTCGACATGAAGGGATTTTCGAAACCCCAAGTTCCAAGAGGGTGAAACCACCCTCAAATATTACAATATTTTTATTTAAAAACGGTCATTTCAAGAAAAACGCTTAAACACGTATATTTTATTTTGTTTTTCACATATTTTAAGATTTTTAAAAATGTATACAGGGTGCTTCGAAAAATCTGGTCATTGATTAATCACGATCCTGTTTTGAAAGCTTGACGTAAAAAGCTGATTTTGGAAAACAGATTGACTTCAGGATGTAGAGGTTCGACATGAAGGGATTTTTCGAACCCCAGTTCCAAGAGGGTGAAACCACCCCTCAAATATTACAATATTTTTATTTAAAAACAGTCAAGTTTCCGAAAAAACGCTTAAAACACGTATATTTTATTTTTGTTTTTTACATATTTTAAGATTTTTTTAAAAATGTATACAGGGTGTTTCGAAAAATCTGGTCATTGATTAATCACGATCCTGCTTAAAGCGCTTGACGTAAAAAGCTGATTTTTTGGAAAACAGATTGACTTTAGGGTGTAGAGGTTCGATAAGAGGGATTTTCGAAACTCGAATTCTAAAGGGGTGAAATTATCCCTCAAATATTAAAATATTTTTATTTAAAACCGGTGAGTTTTTACGGAAAGAATTATTTAGTTGTTTTACATATTTGAAGATTTTTTATAAATTTATACAGGGTGTTTCATAAAATATGATGATTGAGTAATCACGATTCTGCTTAAACTGCTTGACGTTTAAACCTGATTTTTTTGGCAAACCAGGATTGACTGTGGGGTGTAGAGGTTCGATAAGGAGGGGTTTCTCGAATCTCAATTTCCAAGAGGGTGAAAACGCCCCTCAAATATTACAATATTTGTTATTTAAAAAACGTCGTTAGTCTTTCGGGAAAACGCTTGGACAAGCATAATTTATTTGGTTTTTTACATATTTTGAAATTTTTTTAAAAATCATACAGGGTGTTCCAAAAAGTTGGGTAATTTCTTAAGCACGATTCTGCTTAAACTGCTTGTCATCGTAAAAATTATTACTTTATAGCTTCAGTTGTAGGAAAAGAAAATTCTAATGTTGAAATATTTTTTGCAAACGGATTTTTCAAAAGTCAAATTCCAACGAGATAAAACTACCCCTCAAATATTACCAAGTTATATAATAATATCGCCATATTGTTTTTTCTCATGCTGACATAAATGTGAGAAAATTTTATCCAGTTTGTATGTTAATGGAAATTCTTGCTTTGCTTTATCATCACCATTACAAACGATTAATTCGACGCGAACGAAGTCGCGGGTACACGCTAGTAATGTGAAGCAACATTGCTACTTTTTTGCTCTTCTGTTCTAAGCTATAAAAATCGAGATTAAAACTTGTCAAAAATTAGCATTAATTATAGGAAGATTATAAAAGGATAGAAAGTTTCCCAGATGCACAAATCTATTTCCAAAAAATAATTTTTCTGGAATTTTAAACGACACAATATTTAAAAATCATTTTTACTCTATATAAAAATAAATTACAACCTTCTTAAGCGCTATTAAAAAATAAAGAAGAGTACAGACCAAGTGAATGACGTCTAGGGCTCGACCTCGCCAAAATTATCAACGATTGTCATTCTCCAGCCCTTCTTGGCGCCGTTTTTTTTTCGTTCGTATGGTAGGTACTTACCCAAGCCAGTTCCACATATTATAAGTAATTTTGGTTTAGATGATATTCTGTTAGCCAGATAATCAGCAGCCTCACGCAGATCTTCCAAGTTAAACCTAAGAAATGTAAATATCAATTTAAATTTGGTTGTGATCTTCATACTATAGTGCGCGTAAAAAAGTCAGCATTCAACTGAATTTTTTTCTAGTTAAAGAAATGTGAAAAGAAAAGGAAACCCAGTTAATTTGTGTTTGTTTGGGTAAAAATATAAAATTAACCATATCTGTTTTCGGGAAACACTTACATAGATAAAATAAAAAATAATCATTAGAAGCGATAACCGATTTATAGAAAAAAATAGTCACAATAATAACATTACGCATTTTATTTTTTATACGTTATCATTTATATAATTAACTGTACAGGGTGGGTCAAATTCGACGCTTTTAAATGGAAACATTCTTTTCTATAGGAGATAGACAAAAACTAATATCGGTGTCTGGAGCTCAGTTTTTGTCAAAAACATGACGGTGAAAACCGCATATCGATATCTGTTACTGTTTCGGAGTTACGGGGTGTTTTTCAAAAATATGCTTTTTTAATAAATCGCTGTAACTTTTTTGCTATGGAAAATTTTCTATTTTTATGAAGACATTTCCAAAGTACCTTTTTGCGTAGAATTTATTGGTTTAAGTATAATTTTTTTAAAATTAATAATTTAAGAATTATCAACAGAAAATTTGATTTTATTAATTAATTTTATTTTATTAATTGCTATACTTTTTAATGTACGATCATTCACAATGTCTAAAATACACAATTAAAATTATAGAATATCCTAGCAAAAGCTTGCAGCAGTCAGTTGTATCCATAAAGAAAGCCTACTAATTAGCTTATAAGACAATAAACTTTTCATTTTTAACCACAATTTCTCTTGACGGATGATAATCAAAGACCAAAATGACATTACTCGCAAATTTTAATTATAATTAGAGGAAAAAGTTGAAAGTTTGTTCATTTTTTTACTAATTGAAAATTACAACCACTAATTTTGACGTTCTGAATGCTTATATTGAAATTAGAGGAACAAACTTGTACACGAATTGAAACCACTAATTTAGTCCACTAATTTCGAAGTTATGAATAAAGCCTTAAGCCCCATACTCACACTTCGCTCCTTCCTCGCCTTACTTCCTCGCGTTTCTTCGTCCCTTCGTTTCCTTCCTTCGTCCATTCGATGCTTGGCAATTAGTCAGTTATACAACAACACACCACAAAATATTTTTAATATAGCAGCTACATGTTTAATATGAAATATCTAGCAACCTCTAAAATTTTTAAAAAATCCGAAAGGCGCATAATTTTTATTTTATAAAACTGCAATTCTTTGTCGTGTCAAAAATAAAAATTGAATTTTAATAATATATTTTTTTTTTTAATAAATCCGAATATTTCAGTATCATGTACCAAGGGTATATCAGTATGAATGTACAAGGCGAGTCAACAATAGAGTAAAGTTTATTATGTAATTTATATCGAAACCATGAAATATGACATACTAATTAAACGTTAATGATGTCAATCCCCTATTTCTTCAGATATTTTTTGTAAAGGCATCATGCACATTATTTCTATTTTTTATTTTTGTCGCTACTGATTACCTACATAAATATGGACATGCATTTTTTCACAAATATGAAGACAATATTGTTTTTTTTTTTCTTCCATTTTTTAGACTATTGTGTGTGAATTATTTTTTATATCGACTGGCGATTGCTAGATGTACAGGATGTCCCATTTGTGTGTGTTTTATGGGGTTTCTGGTTTATGAGTAGAGATATAAATATGCTGTTTTCACATCATTGTTCTACCACTATTATGAAAACTAAATATGCTACATGAAGAAATAACTTTGAACTAAGAAGGATAAGGATAAATGTATATTTATCCTAGCCTCTTAGTTCAAAAATGTATTTCTTATTTCTTTCTCTTTTTTTACTTTTTTATTTTTTAATTAGTAGAAATTTTTGCATTTTTCAATAACCTTTGTATCTCGATTATCTGGCATAACTTATCGAAAAAGGTGAAAAGGGTCAGTGATGGGCGGTGGGTAAGCACCAATTTGTAGATAAATAAAAATCTGGGTATATATGTATATACCTGTAGATTTAGATGAACATCCTAATTTTAATAAAGGGTTTCCGACGACCGCATAGTAAATACCCGGTATAATACCGGGAATAGAAATATACTAATATGTAATATCTACAATATATATAAGAAATATTGTAGATATATACTCGTATTCCTGACATTACTGGTATTATATGGGGTATTTACTATGCGGTCGTTGGAAATACTTTTATAAAAATTAGACTGTTCATCTAAATAATACAGGTATATACCGATATACTGATTTTTGTTTTGTTCTACCCATTGAGTAGGTACTTACCCACCGCCCATGTCTCGTTTTTCAGGTAGAATGGCAGTGACGAGAGTGGTTCTTCGTTGGGAGCTGTATATATCGAAAAAACTATTGAAACGACTCAACTTATGTTCTTTTTTTTTAAACAGGACACTCTATATATTATTTTTTATTTTATTTGCCTTGTTATGAGCTTTCGAAAATTATAATATACTCTATAGTTATTTATTTAGGTACTGCTAAACTGCTAAACGGCTCTTATTTTATTTAACTTAATTTTACCAGATAATTTTGCTATGCATCGTGATATTTTGATAAACTACACGGAAACTGAACTTGTGCTGCTTTTAAATAACATGCCAATAACAAACATTTTACGTCGAATAAATTAGTTGATTGTTTTGATTACCTGATTTAAACCGGCCGACTATGTAATAAAGTTAAATAATGCATTTTTACTCCCGTTTATGAAAATAAGTATTTTAGAAAGCTCAAAAAATAAGGAAAATAAAATAATATAAAAAATATCGTATTTAAAAAAAACATATAAGTTTTAGTCAATTTAAAAAAAGACAGATTCCAACGAAGAAATAGTTACGTCACTGCATTCGACGTGAAAAACTGTACGGGAGACCGTTTTCACCTTTTCGATAAGTTATGATACAAAGGGGATCGAAAAATGCAAACATTTCAGATTCGCCTTGTATTTTAGGAAGTAAGAGAGCTAGGACATATGTATGTCTATGTAGCATCTTTAGTTTCATAAAAAAGTAACAGCGTAACGTAAAAACCGCATCTTTGTATTTCGACTCATAAACGAGAAACCTTGCAAAACACACGAAAATGGGACACCCTGTACAGACGTACTGCGAAATCAAGAAATCAACTACGAATGAAATCCAAGATCGATTTATATATTTTATATATTTTAATATTTTTTGTGTTCGTGATAATTCGCTGCTACTTCCTCCAAAAACCGACAATACGTGGAAGGAGCGTTTCGAGGAAGTAAACGGACGAAGTAGCGTTTTGACGAAGGAGGAAGGAACACACAGTCGCATAAAATCGACATTTTCCCATAGTAAATATATGATTTTTGGACGAAGGGACGCGAGGAAGGAACGAAGTGAAGTAGCTAAGTGTGAGTATGGGACTTTAAACTAAAATTTTAACAAAATAAAAAAATAAAGTTAAAACTTACTCATCTCTAGCCTTACTCATGTTAAAGCTGAAAAAATAACTAAACGCTCACTGCCTGCACTACAGATAAAAAAAACCTTATTGAGGCTAGCAAAGACTGGCACCACTATACCGAGCGCATTAAAAAAGTCATAGGCCCTACTAGTACGCGTCTATACAAGTTATGTTGGTACGCAGGTAGTTCTTCAGAGGCAGAAAGATTTCTAACTAGTGATAATAATTGAATTGATATATAATTCAAGACTATTCGAAAATTGGAGCTCGTGAATATCGAGTACTACTACCACTCTAGTATGTTCTGTATTAAGAATCTTATCAGTGCTATATGTATCGCTCTTATTAACTTGGTATAAAGTGCAATAACATCTTGTGGTATTTGACATGATGTAAATAAGTTAAAGTATGTAATAATGAAAATATAGGTAGACGGTTTTTTTTACTTTTGTGAACGTGAAAATATATAATTAAATAAATATTATAAGACCTTGGATTCAATTTGATATCCTAGTTTATCTTAATATGATTATTACATATTTTATTTTTATTTTAACATTGTATAATAATTTTTGTATCAAGGGAATTATAGAGTCTTATTAATCTTCTGATATATTTGTATTAGCGCTGTTGGTAGAAACCTCGATAGAAACATTGTTTGTTGCCAGATTACTATTGTATTAAATAGCTATTGACGGTTGTTGTCAATTGAGCTCAGTTTTTTGTCAAAAAAAAACGCCTTTCGCACGAATTTGGCACACTAAAATGAAGAAAGATTAATCTAAAAAACTGAAGAAACACGACAAGCGTTTGTTCCACCTAAAAGTGAACCCGTTTACCAAAAAGAATATAAAAATACCTTCATTGGATGGAACAGAAAAATATTGGGCTCAACTTTCGTTTAGCTGAAATCTGTTATATAAAAAATGACTTTATATATGCGTTCTAGAAGACGTTAGGAGTACAAATATACAAAAATTTTCCTGCGGAAATGCGTCATTTTCATTTTTCGGACTTTAGTATAGCCGAAATCTGTTACATCAAAACTAGTCTTCGGGGTGTGTTTTAGACATTTTTCTAAAGATAAAAACACAAAAAAGTGTCTGAGGAATTTTTTATTTTTACTTTACATAAAAAAATGCTTTGACTTTAGAATAGCCGAAATCAGTTACATGAAATATGAACTTATATTTGTATCTTTTATACGAGCCTTTACGAGCAAAGAAATACAAAAAAATTCCTGCGGAAATGTGTACAATGTCATTTTGTGCATTTTGTTTTTCATAAATTTTTCAGTTTAGAAGCTTACGGGACCCGGGAGCGAATAGGGGTGCGGGGTGGGGTAAAACAACTTTTAGAGGAATAACAATTCTTGTAGAATAGATAATATAGGTTCTTGTAAACTATAAGTACCTCGGAATGTTGCACTTATTCTTGTTTTTTTTATTAAAGCTTTACGTAAATAGGGCTGATTCAAAACAAAAAATCATTGGATCATACAGTTTTCTTTTATATTTTAATAGTTAACTGTGATTTTGCAAAAATATTAGATTGGTTAGCATTTGGGTTGTTTTGGTTAGATTTTCTTTGTGGAGGATGTTAAGCTGTGGTTTTTATATTTTAATAATTAACTGTGATTTTGTAAAAATATTATTAGATTTATTATTAGATTGGTTAGCATTTTAGACATTTTTAAATGATTTTTTTTTAGTTCAAAAGTGCTTCATCTCTTCATCTAAGGATTTTTTTCTTTTAAACTGTTCTATAAGCATATAATAAAAAAATATTTTTGCTAAATTCGTGGGTACTTATACTTTACAAGACCCGATAATATAATAAGGAACAAATGGAAAATGAAAATCAAGCGTTTCCGCAGGAAATTTTTTATTTTCCTGAGTTCGTAAACGCTTCTAAAAGGCAAAAATATATTTATTTTTTATATAACTGATTTCAGCTATTCAAAAGTCTATTAAATTTCCTCAGAAAATGGAGACAGTTTATTTCCGCAGGAAAATTAATTCCTCAATTCGTGAATGCTTCTAAAAGGCAAAAATATATTTATTTTTTATATAACTGATTTCAGCTATTCTAAAGTCTAATAAATTTCCTTAGAAAATGGAAACAGCTTATTTCCGCAGGAAAATTTTTGTGTTTATGTTCAGAAGAATATTAAAAATATAACGCAAAATGTATTTTTTTATAGTAGATTTCAGTTATTCTAAAGTGCGAAATTTGGAAATTACGCATTTCCGCAGGAAAATTTGTGTTTTCCGTGGTTCGCAGTAGCTTTTTAAAGACAAAAATTTAGTTTTTTTTTTTCTAATAATTGATTTCAGCTAAACGAAAGTTGACCCAAATAATATTGTAGCAGGAGATGTCGATAAAACTGTTCTCCTGAAAATTTATTATATGTGACATTAATGATGTAAATAAAGTATTGAGGTAGTTAGATGAGTGTCCATTTTCATTTTATATTGTTACTCAAAATCTCTATTGTTTTTCATGGTTGTTACCTATAAAAGGTAGAGGGAATTATGGCAGATTATGGCATCTTAGTGTCCCCAGGGAGTTATGACTCTATTTACATATGGTTAGCGTAACCAAGACGATACAAGCTTATATTAATTCAGCAAGAAATAAAAAAAATATTTGTAAAATAAATATATACTTTTTCTATGGATCCCCTGGATTCCCCTGGATCACTGAAACAATAAAAATAAAAGCTATATAAAGAAAAATTCAATGTTGAAATAATTTTCCGTTTTTCTGAAAAACGGTAAAAGACCGCCAAGAAAAAAATAGATTCGTAATCTACGACCTCAAGATAGTGTGTATACCAATTTTGGTGAAAATCGGACGATTTCCAGTTTTCCCAATAATTACCATATTTTTATTTTACAGGTAACACCTAACAATTTCATAATAATGATTATTTTTTTTACAGATGGATGTAAGAAGTTACATCCATCTGTAAAAAAAATAATCATTATTATGAAATATTACATTGAATTTTTCTTTATTTCGGCCCTATAAAGTAATAATTTCACTATATTTTCATTATATTATAGTTTATCTAAAAGCCACACTTGATTGGGGATAGAAAAGTGTCCAACATTTTACTGAAAAACACTTTTCTTAACAAAATAGCAAAGAAAATTGAGACCAGATAGAAGTTTGACATTTGATATATCCTTCTTTCTCTCTCCTATGTAATAAGAGAGACAAATATATTCTAGACCTAATCTAGAAATTTGAAAATTTACAACGTTGCCATATCTTCTATTTTTTCAGGTGATTACGGATTTTAAATAAATTACCTATTATGAGATCGACAATAATTAAATATACACCTATATCCACAAAATTACGCGGAAGAGTTTTGATTGCATTGGTTTTAACTTCTTTGCGAAGGGGGTTAATCCTTTTTAAGTTAATCTAATAATATAACAACAAAAGATTAACACCCTCTGCATGGAAGTTGTAACTAATGCAATCAAAACTCTTTCGTGCAACTTCGTGGGTATAAATAGTCAGATCTCGTTGGTAAAATAGCAGTTTTGGGAAGGAGCCGTTCTTCTGGCGACCGCCTTTCGTAATTCCAGAATGAGCGAAAAAACACGCTAAATTTAGGTTTAGCATTGGCAACGTTGCTTTATATGCCAGAAACACATAAGCTTACTTCGGGTTTCTCTTATTACCGATTCTGAACCGTCCTAGAACTGTGATGCGTATGCGCAGAAGGAAATATGAAGACATTATTTCATTTGCGCATGCGCAGTTTTCCCAATAATTACCAAAAATGTCAATTTTTTATTCATTTTTACCTTGCCCCCCCCCCTAAATTTCATTCTTCCGGCGCCCATGCTAATAGTGTTTTAATTATTTTGAGTTAAACTATCATTTTATAGTGTACTTATTTCTATACTTTCCCCATTTAACTTAAAATAACTGCTAATCCACACACTACTTAATGTGCTTGACATTTTCACACTTATATACAACCATTGTATTGTTTGGTATGTTTTTTTTCTATGACCTTAACGTCTTAACGAGATTTTCAAGATCTAGGGCGTAATAACACCATATTTCGCGCTCTGTTAGTTACGATCATATGTAAGAAGAGAATTCTTGCAATACCAACGTAAAACATGTTTTTTTAAGTAAGTTACAGAAAAATAAAATCCAAATATATATAAAGCAAAAGGGGTTTTAGGTAAAATTTAAGAAAAAAAAAATACAGAAAATTAATTGTTCTTCAAAAGAAAATCTAGTTACGCCACTGAATTCTACGTGAAAAACTGTACGATCTCAGTTTTCATATTTTCGATAAGTTATAAGATAACCAAGATACAAAAGGGGTCGAAAAATGCAACATTTTAACTTCGCCCTGTATTTCTGGAACTAAGAAGTAGATTGGTACAAAAAGTTGTGCCAAATAGAGTTGTGAAATTGGCATCTTTGTAACGAGAAACCCTATAAAACACACGAACTGGGGAATGGGACACCCTATACAGGGTGAGTCAATGATGGAATATAGTTGATTATTTAGTTTTTGTTTAAAGAATTATGAAAAGTAGTTAAATAGGAAAATTTTAGGGAAGGGCACAAACTAATTTAAAAAGAGATTAATCTGTGGGAAGGGTTAAGAACCATAATTTAAAATTATTTTAGGAAAAATCTAGGGATATAATTTTATTAAAGTTAAAAATAAATGTTTTGAATAAACAATCACATATTTGTAGGCCGATTCTTTCTACTTCGATTGAAACGAAGTAGTCACACTAGTTATTTCTAAATTTGGGATATTTGCCGAAGTGTTTGTGCATTTTTTGTCAAATGTATAAAAAGCACCTAGCATCAATTGTTCGAATTTAACCTGTACTGGCTATGTTTTTATGAGAACTGGCCAGAATTCATTCAAATAACTCTGTTTAGTATTAAACGACATTATGGAGCGTAGACATCTTAACAGAGACGAAATGCTAAGGGCCATGGGTACGCTCGAAGCTGGAATGCGCCAAATTGACGTAGCTAGAGTATTAAATACAACGCAAAGTGTAATATCGCGATTAAGTGCACGCTACCGTGAAAGTGGTGATGTTGCTGAAAGGCACACAGGACGACATCGCATTATTACCACTCAGCAAGATCATTTTTTACAATTAAATGCTCGACGCCGACCGACTCTTACAGCAACAGAGCTTAGTTTAATTCTCCAGAAAACACATAATGTAACCGTTAGTCCTGACACTGTTCGCTATAGATTAAGAGAGGTCAACCTAAGAAGCAGACGCCCCTGGAGAGCTCAACCCTTAACGAGAGGAAATCGAG